GAAATTGAATGTGATTTGAGTCAAGTACAAACAATTGTTCTGGCCCAAATTGTCCAGTTCAGTACGATTAAAAGTGAACAAGAAGTTCTTATTGATATTGGAGCTGTTTTTCAAATAGTCTCTGTAGAATCAAAGAAGAATATGGTACTGATCAAAATGAAGGCTACAGACGAAGGAGTCAAGATCTGTAAAGACTACATAGAAATCAATCAAGCAGAAATGAAAGAGAAAAATGTTTGTATCATATGGGGGGATCTTCTTTCAGAGATAGGTCACTACGACAAAGCTCTACAATATTTTCAGAAGATAAAAGTTCTAGATGGCACTATCGAGGATTGGCAATTGCATATTCATATTGGTCATGTCTTACTGGTCAAAGGTTTGCACAATGAGGCTGAATCACATTATCTCTACGCAAAAGAACTTTGGGAAAAACAAGAATTGACACGGAACATCTCCATCTTGTCTCATATCAGTAAGGCTATGATAGAAAAAGGAGTTTACGATGATGCGCTTGCCATTCTCACTCAAGATTTGAATATTTACGAAAGTCTTTCGACAGTCGAACATGATAGAATCTATTATCATGATATTGCTGCTTTTCTTTCTAACATTGCACGATGTTATTTATATAAAGGTGAACACGATCTAGCAATCACTTTTTTCAATCGAGCTTACGATACACGAGAAAGTAATTATTCAAGTGATCATTTCGAAAGCGCCTATGATTTAGATCAACTTGGTTCCATCTTTACAGTGAAAGGTGATTACAAACGTGCATTGCATTATTTCTCTCACGCAACAGCAATTTACGAACGAACTCTCCCATCCGATCATCCAGCAATGATTAATCACCTACTGACAATCGGTGAAACACTCGGACAGCAAAACAAGAAGGAGGACGCATTAAAATATTTGCGACAAGCTCTTGCATTACAAGAGAACATTTCTTCTAACACGACAGTAGACATTGCGTTTACTCTTGACATTCTTAGTCAGATTTCTTTTTTCGAGGGAGACGAAGAAAGTGCTTTCAACCTCACTCAACGTGCTCTGGAAACAAAACGAGCCTACCTTCCTAAAGACCATCCTATGATAGCAAATGATCTGACAACTCTAGGTAACATTCTCAAAAACCAAGAACGATATGATGAAGCAATGGCTAGCTATACACAAGCTGCGGCTATTTATGAAGGAACTTGTCCAAACGGGCATCCTCAGTGTGCTGTCATCCTACACGGCATTGGCTTCATCTATAAAACAAATGATGATTACGAAACAGCTCTTTCTTATTACAGAAAAGCTCAAATGATCTATGAGAAATATTTTTTTCCTGGTAATTCGAATTTCATACGCCTTTTGTTATGTATTGCCGAAGTGTACCAATCTCAATGTGATCTTCCTCTCGCCATTGAATCTCTTAAAAATTGTCTCACTACGATACAAAAATACTGTCCTGTTGATGACTCACTTCTTTCAAAAACGTACTTGATGCTAGCTGATGCGTACATGCTTCAAGATGATGTGGAGAAAGCATTGCACTGCTATGAGAAAGGCTTTTCAATTGAAGTTGATGATGATAAAATTGAACACTTTGTCTATTATATTGGCTATCATTTACTCATGACAAGCTGTCTGTTGGAATCGCAAGGAAGTCTTCAACAGGCTGAAAACATGCGCCAGAACGCGTCGATTGTGTTCCAAAAATACGACTCGTACGATTTGTTTAGCCTCGTAGAAAGATTGCTCGATTTGCGTGGTAATGACTACAATAATGATGAAATTAGTCCCTCTCTTCGCGATCTCCATGCGAAAGCATCCAATGATGCACCTGATGTGATCAAAATTCTTCAAGAAGATGACGGGTCACAATCGTGCTCACCGGACGAGGGATACATCGTTAGTCGAATCACATATTATCATGACTCGATGTATCTCTACCAACGATTGCTGATGGATGAGAAGCAGCGAGCATCAGCCGCAACACTTCTTGCATGTAACTACGATAAAAGGCATCAATATGAACCTGCAAGATACTATTATGAAAAAGCACGAAATTTCTATAGACAACTGATGATAATTACGAATGCCGAATTAGAGACGAACAAATTGATAAGCACAATCAACGACATTAGTGCTCGCATCATTCATTTGACAAATTGATCTGTGGCAAGAACCTTTTTCCTGTAACCTAAATCATGTTTTCTGATAAAACCTAAATTTGCTTCAAGATAATAAAATGAATAGATAGAGATAACAAACGCCTTCCTATTCCGGTTTCATTACCAATGTAACAATGTACACTTGCAAGGAGTGATTGAAGACAGGGTGTCGACAGGGCTGTGGGTGTCTGTGTGCGTGTGGATGGGTGTGAGTGTCAGTGGGTGTGTGGCATGGGTGTGCGTGGGTGTCTGGTGTGGGTTATGGGTGTGAGGGTGTGGTATGGATGTGCGTGGGTGTGGGCGCAGGTGTGGAGGGTGTGGGTGTGGGTGGGTGTGGGTGGGTGTGGGTGGGGTGTGGGTGTGGGGTGTGGGGTGAGGTGTGGATAGGGAGTGGGTGTGGGCGTTGGACGTGGGCAAAAATAAGTCCCACATTCACCCCCACCCCACCCACACCCCACAGTCACACACACCCACACCCACCCTAACCCACGCCCACATCTGCACCCACCCACTCACACCTACCCACACTCACCCACACCCACACCGACACCCACACTTACACCCACACCCACACCCACACCTACACCGACACCTGCACCCACACTTACACCCACCCCCACTCCCACACCCACCCACACTCACACCCCACATCCACCCACCCACACCCACACCCACCCACACATCCACACCCTCCCACACCCACATCCACACCCACTCACACCCACATCCCACCCTATAACAGTAACGTTGATTAGAGAGATTGATCAATTGTATTTATAACTGTATGGCTTAGGGTACCTTTTTATAATTCTAGGCGTAGTTCTTGTACACCACTTACGATATGAATACTCCACCTTCATTAATGAAAATCTATTCGACTTTCGCCAATTCGCTTCCTAGAAATTCATCAATTGGCGACAGTTCAGTGGAATTTCACTAAATATATCCCTTGAAAATTCGCCAATTGGCGAAAGTTTAGTGGACTTTCGCCAGTATATCCTCTGGATTTTCGCCAATTATTGGCGAAAGTCTTATTGGCGAAGCTTCGGACCCCCGGTTTTTATTCATCGACTATTTTTAAATACATATATATTCCAGAGATATCTATGGTAATGCGGTAGCGGTATGTATTTTTAAAAACTATTGCAGCAATAGCAGTTGCTTTGTGGGAGGTATTGCAGAATTTCATGAATTTGCACAAGATTCAAGAGTCGAGAAATGTAGCACCTAGAGACTTGATGAATCTAGTTGTTTCATATTAACATCGGTAGTTTAAAACTCTATTCATAGATATTTTCGAAAGAGTTTTTGAATACTATTGCGGCAATAGTGCGAGAGTCCTGTCTCTACCAAAAACGTAGCATCACAGCGGTAGATTCTCAGTCATGATGGACATCTTTGGTAGATTCTATGTTAATGATAAAAAAACGAACATGATATTAGAAACATAGAAGTTTTTATCAAGACTAAAATTAGCACATGCAATGAATAACACTATTTTAACACATTCACGTCAATACTTTATTGACTAATGTAATTGATACTCTATGAAATTGTTCTCATGATATAGATTTGTTCTTTGTAAAACACGTTTTATTCTTTATGTCATTTTTGACGAATAATTATTTTTCTCATTCTCACATATTTTATATCAATAGTCAATTATTTTTGATAACATTCAACATATAAGTATTGATTTAATGATAACCGATTCATCTTCAAGGGTTACAATAATTAATATCAATGATGAAATTAAATTTCACTTATCATGAAAGAAAAAACAGTGTTCTTATTAAGGCCCTCTCCACTCAAAAATCGATCTCAGCTCAGGTACGTTCAAATGGGTTGAGATTTGGGGCATCTGTTGGGGCTGATTTGAGGAGGCTGTGGTAAAATTTTCAGTTCGATACCCTGATGTTTGACAGAGATATGAACCAAACAAGGGTCAAAAATAGCTCATTTTCGTTCCAAGATTTCTCAGTCCAAGCTCATGCTATATGTTAATTTTTTTTTCATTAGAAAGAGCATGTCAAGATGCGGGGCACCACAGAGTCCTTTTTTTAAATTCTTATTTTTTTAGCGAAGAAAGGGGATCACAATTTTAATGACTCAAAAACCGCGCCAAAAATGAGTGTCTAATTACATAAACATCTATATATATAATAAAAAACAAAGCTTAATCAAAAAAAGAACTCTGTGGTGCCCTGCATCTTGACATGCTCTTTCAGACAAAAAAAAATTATATGTATTGAATGACACTGGGCCGAGTAATCTTGGAAGCAAAATCAAAAAATCATAAACAGAGAAAAAACGAAAAACATGTTTTTTTTTTTTTTAAATAAGCATATTTTTCAAGAAGAGGTCAATGAAAATCATCGAAAATCTTGGCCAAAAAAGAGATACCAAAGAAAAACCAATGTTGTTTCTGAAAGATCTGAAGACCGGTTATCTTCCCATGCATTTATCTCAATTTCGAAAATTCTGACGAAAATCGACTTTTTTTGAGTGGGGGGAGGGGCCTTAAATATCAATCAGATTTTGAAGATTAATTTTTCTATTTGATTTTGTTTTCATTAGTTCATCATTTACTGACAACAAACTCATTTAAATCAAAATAGAGAAAACAAAAAACATGTAGAAAAAGTAAAAAATTATATATAAAGATAACAAAAAAAATGCTCCATGTCACGTCATTTATTCTAGGTGATCATCATCGTCATTGAACAAGAAAAAAAAAGAATTAAATATTTTCTTTACAATTTTCAATATTTTATTTCTATATCATCAATCATCAAAAATAAAAATTTAATAGAAAGAAATAATTGAATTTAGTTAAAGATGTTATTAAATAGTTATGTGAATAAATATCTAATAATTATTTTCATCATTATCAATAAAACATCAAGTACAGGTAAAAACTTATAATTATATTAATAAGGCGTTCAACGTCTTTTTTTTTGATAGAAACGATTCTTAACAATAAACAAAATATTTTTAATATAAAAAAAGAAAAAGTTTTTTTGTCTTCTTTTTTAAAATTGAAGCAAAATAAAATAAATATTTTAAGAATAAGATTTCGAAATAATAGAATTGTTTTCGTTCATATCTATTTTAATATATAGTTTTAGTATTAGAGGTAATCATCTTTGATATTATTCTGTTTCATCACACAATAAATTACTTTCTTTATGTAAAAGTTTTTGAAGATCAAGATAACACTATTTATATCTAATCTATTCTGATTAAAACAAAACGAAAGAATTATGCACAATAAATTTCAATTCTTATTTGAACATTTAAATATTTTATAGAATATCTAATGTAAAGAAAAAAAAATCGAGTCATTCGTTATCCTATAACTTTATGTAAGGTTGTATGAAGATTAAATCTATTGAAAAATGAATAGAGTTTTTTTTACTATACTTTAAAACATGTTTAGATAAAATAAATAAATACTTAATCGAATGATAACTAAAAACGAAATGAAAAGAATATGAAATTGCATGATTATCAATTATTCGCAGAATAATTATCTATATATATTGATTTCGATATTTATAGAAATTTATACAAAACACTAGTGATCGAATATTTTATCCAAATTATCTCAACAATTTTCTCTATACTATTCATCCAATAATTCATTGATAGACTTATAATCAAATAAATTTATTACTCATTCAAATATAAATAAACAATATCAAGAAATAAAAACAGAAAAAAAAACCATTTTTATTTCTTTCTACTTAACACTTATTTACATAAAATTGTTATCATAATAACAATTTTAATTCTATTCAATATTATTTCATGTTTTCATTTTATATTTAAGATAAAAAATAAGATAAAAATAGATCTTCAGTTATATCGTCGCTATATGCCATAAATATTAAAACTAAATTAATTATTTATTATAGTTTCAAACTTTCATTTTGCATTTTTTCTTCAATGTCAATCTTAATATTCTTCTTCATTTCTAGTTCTTTCTTACAATCAACCAAAATTCTCTTCAAATGCGTCATGGAATCCAAATGCCATTAAATTTGCAGATATCAATACGGTTGGCTCATTTCCTTGGAATGTTTTTGTCAATATCAACAACACTGTTTATGTGACTGCTACTAATCTTCATGAAGTTAAAGTATGGTCAGAAGGAAGAATCATTCCGACAACAATCATCTCTAATGGTTTGTCTTCTCCATTAAGTCTCTTTGTCACAATTAATGGTGATATCTATGTTGGCAATAGTAAAAATGGTCGAGTGGACATGTGGACACAAAATACTACAGATAGTATTCCAGCAATGTATGTCCGTAGTCCTTGTTTCAGTCTCTTTGTTGATATCAAAAATACTCTTTATTGTTCTCTTCAAACTCTTCATCAAGTCATCAAAAGATCACTGAACAGTATTTCAAATGTGACAACAATTGCTGCAGGCAATGGATCTGCTGGATCAGCATCAAATATGCTTTCTAGTCCTCGAGGAATCTTTGTTGATACTAAATTTAACTTGTATGTAGCAGATTGTGTGAACAATAGAATTCAATGTTTTCAAGTAAGAGAATTGAATGGAAAAACAGTAGCTGGAAATGGAGCACCATCAACAATTACACTTTCGTGTCCAAGTGGAATCGTACTTGATGGTGATGGTAATCTATTCATTGTAGATAAAGATAATCATCGTATAATTGAATCGGGAGAAAATGGTTTTCGATGTGTAGTTGGTTGTCATGGAAAAGGTTCAGCACCTAATCAATTATCAAACCCAACGTCCCTTAGTTTCGATAGTTACGGAAACATATTTGTCACGGATCGTGGAAATAGTCGAATTCAAAAATTTTTTTTATCAATTTATTCCTGTGGTAAGTACAAAGATATGTAGTAAAATTCAAAAAAAGAAAACAAAAAATAAGTTGAGAAAAATGAATTATCATAATTTGTCAAATTGAAAAGAAACTTTCATTTAAAGAGAAATGCCTTTTAATTTGAATATAATTTGATATTCATAATAAAAAATGCTAGAAAACAAGTTGACAAAATATCTTTGTATAGAATAATGAGTTAGATAAATTAGTTTGAGAAAATTGAGAATGAATAAAAAGAATATTCTGATCGAAAATGTGTATAATTTTTAAAATCTTTTATTTTTCTCATTTTGAAAGATGATCAACAAAAAAAAAAAAATAAGAAACTAAAAACACTGAAATTGCGAAAGAAAATAAGACGTCCATATCATTCGTATATGTCAACAAACGGAAAGAGCAAAAAAATGTGTTAATGTATACTGGCATCACATTATAATATAACAGATGAAAGAAATATAGTCAGACAATTTTATAATTTGGCCAAGAGAAAGGTCATGACACCAGAATTCTGCGAAATCTCTAGAAATTTCGGCATTAGTTATTCGAGCCCAAAGTAATCAAACAGCCACTAGAGAGTATATATACTATTTGTGGCTTAAGTCCTAGTCATTCTTGTTACTGTAAATATGCCGATTTCTCATTGTTTACCTACCAAATATTCCGTTGATGGGACCTATTTAAATTGACCTAGTTAGAGTTGAAAAATTGTCTCTGTAAAAAAGAAATTTAGTTCAGCTCCATTCCTAGTATGTTTGATACTTACCATTCGATGAAAAAGTTACGAGCGAAAAACATAATATAGCTATATCTCTCTTCTGTACTTCTATCCTTAGGTCAACACAATCAACGTAAAACTAGGATCCATAAGTATTATTCAGGATCGTCCTTCATTGAGTCGTATAGAGCTTGACAAGGGCTATCAAATAGTATATAGAACAGATCAAAACAATTACTGGTAGCTTCACATTAATAAAACAGCAGAGTTTTGTCAGATAAAAGTCTTGAAGCAACCATTGCTGCGCTGAATCAAGCCAAATAGGCGATGTAAATGGATGGATTTAGTTTTATTAGATTGAATTCATGAGTATCTACCCATTAGACACCATCAAACCATATCTAGTCATGGTTTAGGAGTAGTTTTGTAATACTGCGTGATTTCACAGCGAAAACGGCACATCTACGTGCCATTTTATAGAAGTATCATAATAGTCTGTGAGATGTTCTATCTTAATTCATGAAAGTCAGCGTTTAGCAGTCAATTGAAAGATATGAAAAAACAATGGTGAACGTGTTTCAACATTAGTTGCAGAAACTGCCTGTAAACGAACTCGATTACAGTACGTTAACAACGTTCTATAAATGGATGAGTATAATTTTTGTGTAATCTATCCGTAATTATACTGTAAATATACTACCGTACTACGAAAATTTACGCATTGTTGCAAAGCATTCGTATCGTATCCGGATTACTACCGTTTTGTTCGACCTGGGTACACATACTTCTAAAGAGAAAATTATACGAGTTTCTAACTCTTCCTTTAGTTTTATCGATTCCTATAATTTTTAGATATAATTTAAACAATCTCAAGATACACAAGTCTATTAAACTACCAACTCTAGATATTGTTATCAAGATAACACTGATACATTACACGACAATAAATGAAAAGATAGAATAATGCTCGTTAACTTTCATATCTTCTATATCTATGACATTTCTATTAGCTTATTCGGAAACTTTTGAATATTTGGACATTCAAGAGTATAATGAAAGTTCAAAAAAATGTTTTCAAAAATTGATGTAGTTTTCAGAAAAGTTCATCGAATGCATCTTGCCAGATGTATAACATGTATTCTAAAACAATCATCATTCACTTTGAACGAATTGATTCTAACGCCTATTGTTATTCGGTGATGTATGTATAATAAGAAAGTTAGATATCTTCATTGTTTAAGCTTTCAATAATTGTGCTCATCCAATGGAATGTACTGAGTTTTTGGAATCGAATAGACTTCTCAAAATTTATGTCAGAATCGATTGTATCGTATGAAATTTATTCAACAAACTTCTAAGATGTACAAGAAATCCAGCAAATCCATGAAGTTCGCTGCGGAAGCGGTTAATTTCGGACGTAGAGAATTCCGTACTTTAGTGTTTTAGGATTTCTAAGAACTCATGATTCAAGATTTGTGTATTAGACAGAAGTTTACGAATCAGTTTTGGGTCTTGAATTGATTTTCGAAATGTTCAACATGGCAGAATAGGATGAATGCTCACTATCTAAAATTATTTCGATTGTTTTTCATTGACTAGAGACTTCATCAGCTATCCAGTCGATTTATTCATCAGCTCTGACTATAAATAGTTCCATGTATTCTCGTGACAATTGTCGATTATCAATGTACTTCTATGAAGCCATACAAATGAATACAGACGAAGCTGGCTGTTATACTTTTGAAAGCAATAGCAACATCGGTACATACAGATATATCTACAAGAACAATTTCAATCCGTTTAATCTGTCCATGAATTTACTGTTAGCTGTCAATAAATCACATAATTTCACAATGGAACTTCAGGCCGATACTACATATGTTTTGGTTATGACAACGTCTTCTCCCAATGTGACAGGAACATTTTCGATCATTGTATCTGGTTCAACGAACGTCAGTCTCGAGCGCATTAGTAAGTATAGCGTCTGTTTAATAATTAATTAGCCAAGAAACACATTACAGAAAATATTTATAAGCTAAATTTTCATACTAAATCCACAAAAGGCTTGAAAACATCACGTATCATATAGTAAAATATTTCCGGAGACAGTCTTCTAAGGATGTTATCTTAATATTCATAATATGCCAGTTTGCTTATAAATGTTAAAATGTTTGTAGACTAAAACTATTATATATTGTAATCATCGAAATCAAATTATCGTGACTCTAACTCTTTCAATATAGCTTGCCACGATTTATTCTTACTTGTTTCTCTATTCATTATTGACCGATTTTTGAAGATCCTGTAGGTCTTTCTTAATGACTAATATTCTCCTTCTTGTATAATCATTCATAACACAACTGCTCAAGCGCTAGTTCTGCAGTTATGCTATATATATTGTTCGTGGTCAGATATATTATTTCCGGAATAGTCGATCACGGCTTTCATAAGTTCATTTATTTGATTAGTACTAATCTTATAATAGTATGACCTATTATCTGGAAGGATACGTCATACGAAATAGGAAGAGATTATTTTTTTACCTACTAAAACTAATCTATTATATCGGATCTTTTCTATCGTGAGTTTTTCAAACTAAGCATGTTCAAATGTCATACAAACTCGCACTTTTCTTTCGTTCTACTGGAGTCGTATTTCTGATGTGCGTGCACAAACAATCTATATTAAAAAAATTAATCAAGTACCCGAAGAATTAGAATTATACAGGAATCTGTTATGCAAATTGTAAAAAATCAATTTGTTTCATAGAAAAGCCGATTGAATTCAATCAGTTTCTCTCTGAAAAAAAAACGATTGATTTTTGTGATTCCATGACATCTATACTATCAAAAACCGTGTCGAATGTAGAGGATGTGTGTTTAACGTCCGAAACACAAGAAACTCTTAGGTGGTCATTCAGAACTATTCGAAACAGTTTTGATATAGATTAAACAATTCGATTCTTAATGCTACATATAGATATGGTATTATATCTGGCGTTACACATCGATTTTGGCTCACAATTAGGTACAATTGCCTAAAATGCATTATAAAATCTCATCTTTTGGTGAACCAATGTTGATGAAAATCACATTTGAAAAAATTGAAGAGAAATGCTATTTTTTTTATAGAGAAGACAATTATACAATTCTTGTAGTATGGTCACGAAGCAGCTTATTGTTTTGAAGAAGAATAATTTGAGATTGTAAGGTCGATTATTTCGATATATAGTGTTTTTCAAACTTGAGTAATTCTAACGTTTCTTACCGAGAAAAGACCAACACCATATATTTCCAACTGTTTTGTAGAACTGAAAAGAACGTCTCGATTTCAGTAATGAAAAATCAGTTTGATCCAGTCTCAGAAATGATTCACTATCAATACAAAATAGTTTCTATATGTGGGTTCAGCTGTGCAAGAGATCCACAGTGACCACCACAGAAATGTACACAGCACTGTGCAGACTTGTATTCAGCGAAGCGCTTGTTCTTTTTTGCAAACCGGATCCTTTAGAGAACAATGTCTCCAGACTAGTCCGTGAAGGATTGTCTAATAGATGGAATTGGAGGGTCGATCTTCTGCGCTGGTAATATCTAATATTAACGTTATAATGCTGATTGATATGTTAGGTTGACAACAAAGTTCTTGCGTTTTTTTTGAAAATTTTCTAAAACATTCGAGAAAGTTCTAGAAGTTTCAATACTAGGGGTATATAAAGGGAGTGTGAACATCTTTCGAATTATAATAAAGTCATCGATATGGACGCTGATCATGAACTGAAAATGAATCTTTCTCGTAGAGAGATTCGAGTGCTTTTACTTCATGAATTTCGTCTGGGTCACAAAGCAATGGAAGCAGCCAACAACATATGCAGCACGATGGGCGAGGATGTGCTCTCTATTCGAACGGCACAACAATGGTTCAATCGCTTTAAGAACGGTAACTTAGAACTCGACGATTTACCTCGACCCAGTAGACCACTGGAAGTGGATGTGAATCTCTTAAAGCAGCTTATCGAACAAGATCCTCGATTGACTTCACGGTGTTTAGCAGAGCAGCTTGGGTGCTCTCATACTGCGGTGGAAAAACATCTGAACGAATTAGGCAAAACATGGAGATATGGAGTTTGGATACCCCATGAGTTATCACCACATCAACTTCAATACAGGGTTGATGCTTGTATGGATTTAATGACATATCACCGCAACTATCAATGGCTCTGCAATCTTATCACCGGTGATGAGAAGTGGGTGTTGTATATTAACTACACGCACAGACACCAGTGGCTGAGCGCTGGTCCAA